TTTTAAATGAGAGTGATGAGTAACTATTTAGCCAAGTTGTTGTTACATTTCATATCCACAGTATATGTAAAAGTGACCAAAAACATAAATTTATTTCCCCTACCCCCATCTTACATAGTTTAAAATAGGGTATTTTAGGTCGAAATTTCAAAGTGCTGTAAAAAAAATTGCCCAAGCCCCAGGCATGGGGATTTTTTTTTCTGAGACACTAAGATGTGTATAAGAGACAGTATATATACTATATAGCGAAATTTTGCTCTGAAAGACCTAACAATTCAATTTATGGAGGTAAATTGAAAAAAAACTATGGCATTATATATCATTCACCTCTAGTTTTGCTATAAATGTGAAAATTGACAATAAACTTAGTTAACTAGTTACTCTTTACTGTCTTTATCAATTTTAATTGAAATGATCATAATGCCAATTTCCAAGATTGCGTTCATCTTGGATGAGAAAATGGTTATTTTTGTAAGACTATTATATTATTATTATTATTATTATTATTACTATTGTACAAAATACAATCTCATCAAAGCAATCACATATAGAATATATAATATTTTTATTACCACTATTGATATCATTACAGTATTATCATCATCCATCATCATCATCCTCATCCTATTCGTCATCGTCATCATCATTCTCATTGTTGTCTAATCATTATAATCATCCTTACTATCATCGATCGTTGTAATCATCACGATCACCATAATCATCATCACATCATACTCATCCATCGTCATCGTCCTCATCACGTCCTTATCAATCATCTATCGTCGTTATCATCATCCTCATAATCTTCATCCTCTCATTCTTCATCATTTTCTTCATCATCATCATCATCATCATCATCATCCTCATCATCATATTCATCCTCATTCATCATCCTCATCATCATCAATGGCATAGCCAGCTATTGGCACAGTTGGGACAGTCCCACACCATTTTTCCAATGGGTCCGCAAAAAATGGTCCACATTTTAAAAAAGGGTCCAAATTATGTAATTTTATGCATAAAATGGATCCAGATATCTTATATTCAGTTAAATATGGGTAAAATTTAAGAAAATTGGTCCAGATATTTCATATTTTTGCGTAAAATGGGTCCACATTGTTTGAATTTACACGTAAAGTGGGTCCACTTTGATATTGTCCTACACCGTTTGAAAATCCTGGCCATGGCATTGATCCTCATCCATCATCGTCACCCTCATCACCATCCTCACCAATCATTGTTAACATCATCACCTTCATCCTACTAATCATCCTCATCCATCATCATCCTTATTCTCATCATCATCAACCTCATCCTTATTATACTTATCATCATCACTCATTCATCATCATAGTCCTCATTATAATCATCATTTTCATTACCATCCTCATCATCATCCTTATTACAATCATCATCTATCATCATCATCCATCATCATCCTTGTCCTCATCATCGACCACATCATCATCATCCTTATTAATCATCATCCTCATCATGAGGATGATAATGAAGAGGATGAGGACGACAAGAATGAAGATGAGGATGAGGGGCAGACTAGGTGTCTCTCATCATTCGTCATCATTAACCTCATCAACATCATTCTGATCAATCATCCTCATCATTATCACGATCACCCTCATCAACGACCATTATCATCAATCATAATCATCATCATCCTAATCCTTCTTCTTATTATCATTATCCTCACCATCCTTATCAGCATCATTTTCTTCCTCATCATCATCCATCATCAATCATCATCTACCTCATCATCTTCCTTCTCCTCATCAGCCGCATCATCCTCATCCTCCTCATCATCATTCTTATCTTAATCACCATAATCATAATCATCATTACCATCATCCTCATTATTATCATCATCATCATCATTCCCATCATCCTTTTCATCATTATCCCCTTCATCAGTCACTACCATCATCATGAGGATGATGAAGATGAGAAGAACGAGAATGAAGATAAGGACAAGGGTGAGGATGAGAGGGATGATTCTCATCATTCATCATCATCAT